CAAAAAAGCCCTTTGAATACTAATCAACCTTTTTACTACCCAATTTGGCATTAAAAACAAAGACATATAAAAAATGGGAGTTGCAGAGAGTACCGAGTTAAGTAAAGTGATGCGACCACCAGCAAACAGCACAGCAGACTTCCAGACGGCTAACTTAGCTTGAAATTTATGTAGAACTGGATCCCACATCTTCTTGCTCCCACTCTTCCCCCCAACCGACATACCCAGATACATAAAGGGTGTTTCCCCAACACCACAATGGAAAGCACTTGCTGCCCCTTTAATCCATCGAGAAGCCACGTTGAAACCAAAGACACTACTTTTGCCATAATTTATCCGCAACCCAGACATCAACTCAAACCATCTCAAAATGGTTTTAACCGTAAAAATACTCTCACTATTAGCTTTCCCCAATATCACTGTATCATCCGCAAATTGTAGCAAAGAAATAGCTAAGCCATTATTCCCCACCGTGATGCCTTGTAACAATCCCTCATCTTCTGCTTTTTTGACTAGTCCATGCAGACCCTCAGCCACCATGAGAAAAAGGAACGGAGATAACGGATCACCCTGTCGTAATCCTTTCCCCATCGCAAACTCCTCTGTTGGGCTTCCATTTACCAGAATTGAAACTCGAGCAGTTGAAAGGCATTCTCGGATCCACCGTCGCCACTTCCCACCAAAACCAAATCTGCTCATCATCCAATCTAAATACGACCAATCGACGCAGTCGTACGCCTTTTCGAAATCAGCTTTGAAGATAAAAGCTTGTTGCTTACGCTGCTTAACCTCTTCCACCACCTCGTTTAAGACTAGCACACTGTCAACAAGTTGACGACCTCCCAAAAACGCAGATTGAGAATCACTAATGATCTCCGGCATTACCACCCGTAGCCTATTAGCCAGCACCTTTGCCAATAACTTATATACACAACCAACTAAGCTAATAGGTCTAAAATCTTTTAGTTCCATGGGATTCATCTTCTTAGGAATTAACGTTAAGAAAGAAGAGTTTAACCCTTTTACTAACCTGCCATTCCGGTGAAACTCCTCAAAAAATCTCACAAAGTCCTCCTTCATACAACCCCAAGCATACTTGATAAAACTAAAATTGTATCCATCCGGCCCCGGTGCTTTTGTTCCCTCACAACTCTGTAACCCTTCCTCAATTTCTTCCGTCGAGAATGGTCTTTCTAACCATGTTGACATCTCTTCAGAGATCCTTTTAAACCCAATTCCAACGGGCTTTGGACGATTTTGTGAGTCATTGGCAAATAACCTTCAAAAATACCCAACCACCTCTCTCTTTATCACCTCTGGCTCTTCAATCCACCTACCATCACACGATATGCCAACAATGTTGTTATGAGCCTTTCTCCCATTTGCCATTTGGTGGAAGTATCTCGAATTTGCATCCCCCCATTTGGCCCAATTGGATCTTGATTTTTGCTTCCAAATGGATTCCCTCTTCCTCATAATATCCCAGAGTGCTTGGAATCCTTGTTGTCGATCTTCCAATTCTTCCTCTTCTAATGCCACCTCTTCGTTTTTCATATCAAGTTCTACTACAGTGCTCGCTGCATGTTGAAACTGAGTTTCTAGATCCCCGAAGACATCCTGATTCCAACTCTTCAGAAACTGCTTCAACATTTTTAATTTCTGAAGACAATTGTAACCTGCAAATCCCTTCACCACTAGTTCATTCCATTTGTCTTCAACAACTTTTCTAAACTCCGGATGATGTTGCCATGCATCCAGAACTCGAAACGGTTTGGGTCCCCAATCTGTTGTCCTTGTTTTCAAAACAATTGCACAGTGGTCCGATATATTTCTTTTCAACCCTTGTTGCACCCATTCACCACCCATACTGCTCATTTCCACAGTCATCAATATCCTGTCTAATCTACTCATTGCTGTACCATCTGGTTTGTACCATGTAAACTTTCGATTTATCAACTTGCTATCAACAAGCCCTGCCGTCTCTATAAAGAGATCAAAATCCTTCATATCGGCGCTCTCCCCTGTCTTTCCCCTTCTTTCATCCATACTCCTAACAGCATTGAAATCCCCTGCAAGCATCCACCGCCCACCCTCCTCAACAATCCTCTGCCTCAACTCATCCCATAATGCAGCTTTTTTCTTCCTATCATTCGGAGCATAAATATTCACAAAAAAGCATACCTCCTTTTTCACCCCCCACTACCCTTTTATCCCTAGGTACCCGTCTCCTTAAAATTCCCCCAACTTAACAAATAGTGATTTATCCCACATACAAATCAAGCCTCCTGAAGCACCAACCGAACTTTTCATATTCCAATCAAAATCATCTGAGTACCATAGCTTTTTACACAAACACTCTTCAACCACTTCTAATTTGGTCTCCTGAAGGAATAGAAAATTTGGTTTTTCTACCCGAACTAGCCTACTCAACTCCCTCCTCTTCACCATATTCCCCAAACCCCTAACATTAAAAGATAAAACCTTCATAAAAAATTCAGACCCTCACCCACACTACCCCTCAGCTACCAAAAAACCTTACCCTCTCTGTCTCCTGCTTTCATCTCTCTCTTCCAGCTCCAACAACCGTGACACCACCTCCTCTTCAGTACCTTCAAACTGCATTCCAAGCCTTTTTCCAGTGCACAACATTTTCTTTACCTCTTGCATATTAATCTCTCGTTGAATAACTTGATTCCGATTAGCAATACAACCATCCGAAAGAGATTCTTCTTCTCCCTGTTGCTCCGGCTTACTCACACCCATTGGCACCAGTTTAGCTTTCTCGCGCCTCAGTCTTCACTCCTTCGTCCGCCCCGTCACCCACTCTGCTTTCTCATTCCAGATTTTTGCAATTTCTTCTGGATAGCACTCTACCACTTTTCTATGTCTTTTTCCCGACACGTCAGCTGCCTTATTCTCCTTATCACGTGATGCCCCTTTCTGCTTTGAGTCCTTGGACATCTTACTAAAAGAACTTTCTACATCCTCTTCTCCTGACCCATTAACTTCCACATGCCCATAACCATCCACAAGCCCATTGTCCTTCAACCCCCTATACTCCTCTAGCACCCCGTTAGCACTCCTCAACCCATTTTCATTATAACCGTCATAACCCCCATCTCCACCCGATGACGACTCCCCATCAATTTGCTTGCTCTTTGAATTCAAAATTCCATTCTCCTGTAACAGCTCCAATTCAATGTTTTCTTCATCTTCGCCGAGAATCTCATCATCAATAAATCTTTGATCCTCACTCTCAATATGCGAGGAGGAATATTCCGATGATGTCCCCGTCATACTCCGTCGGTCACCCGCCGATAGCCACCAATCTGGGTCTGATCTCCATCCCTCCTCCGCTACCTGAATCTCATGTAGCTGTCCAACTACCTTCAATTTCAACACATTCGAAATACTATGTGTAGCTGAACAAAGAACCAGTACCCTTCCTTCACTCAAAACAGCTTTGGACTTGGTATCCTCATGCACCCTCACCACCTCCTCGAACGTTCTTCCTATCATTTCGAAACATCTATCAGTCCATGCATTCAACGGAATACCAGATACCCGCAGCCACACCAATCGACTACTTCGTGTCGGCGCTAACGCCCATGGTAATATAGATTCAAACCATGTATCGAACAACTCTCTATTCTGCACCATAAACTCACTAAGGTAGCCCTTCACCTTTTCAAGAATCAGCACTGAACTTCCCCCTAATGGGAACAACGCAAGCAGCCCTCCATCCACATCCATTCTCTCTTGGATACATGTCACTGACATTAAAGAATTCAAAACAGCGACCATGCCCCCTTCCAGCCATTGAGTTTCTTCCTTTGTAGGCTCAAACGCAATAATGCACTCTCTATCTGCACCCACACTCTCTTCTTGTGCCTTTTCCTTTGCACCCAATCCCTTTCCCTCATTCTCGGCACCCAATACCCTCTGCTCTAAATCCCGATCCTCAATTCTCTTAACTGCGTCCTTCTCCGTTGCTGACATACATTGTGGCTAATGCTTTTCAACCCATATATTCTTTCCCACAACCGCCTGTGCATAGGAGCTGCCTGGGTGCACCAATCTAGTCATTCTCCGCATCCCAGATTCTGCACGTGATGCCTTCGTCTATTCGGGAAACCACTTCCGTGGTCTATCAGCCATCTTCACCCTCAACTTATACTGTCCAAACCAGATCTCATTCAGCCATTTCACCATCTATGCCTCATTTTGCACTCCTACCAGTCGAACAAATCCAAATCTATTCCCCCACTTGTCCCTCTTGTTCGGAAGAAACACATCCACTACCTTGCCGAATCGTTGAAAGCAAAACCAAAGACTCTTTGCTGTCTCCGTCTCGGGGAAATTGAAGAAGAAAAATGTCTGAACCTGCCCAGAAAACTGAGAACTAAAACCTGGAATCCGCCGCCTGAAGCCTTGCCGCCGGTGGAAGCTGCTGTCTGCCCTGGCCGCCGCATCCCTATCTCGAGCCCTAGTAGTCTCCATAATTTCCTTCGGTGAAAAATTATAATTTTTATCGCATGTTACTTTAATTTTTCTTTTTTAGCAATTCTTTTTTAATAAAAATCATAGTTATAGACATATTTTAATAATTTATATAATCTATCATAAATTGTTTTTGTTAGTTGGGATTACTTTTTTTAATTTTGATTTAACTTTTTTTATTATTTTTCTATTAAAACTAATGAAAATTTTGTATAATAGATTATTCGAAAATATTTTACAAAATTTATAGATTATTTAAAAAGAAAGTAAACTTTGTAGATTAAAATAAAATTAGATTAATAATTAATACACCAATTATTAAATTAAACCACCTATTAATTATTACTTTGTCATCACTTTGTTTTAAAAAAGTTTATCTTTTTTCTTTAATTTAAAAACTAAAAATGTATATACAAATGTTCTACTCCACTATCGAATCTGCTAAAATTCTATTAGCCTTAACATAATTCCATGTAAATAATTACTTTATCTCAATCCAAATAACTATCATTTTTTTTATTTTACTCAAATAATTGTCGTATTTTAATAGATAAATATTTTTTAATTTTATTATTATTTATTTATTTTAATTATTCATTGTATCACAAAAAAATCTATATTTTTTTATCAAAAAAAAATCTCTATTTTAAAAGTAATACATATAATTTGATACTATCATGCCAATCTCTTTATTTTTTATTTTTTTAAAGATAATATAAATAAATATATAAATTATTTTAAAATTTTTAATTTAGAGAAAGTAAAAAAGAAACAATTATTTTAGAATAAAAAAATATATAACACTACACAGACATCACAAAACACAAGAATATTTACATTTTTTTTTTTTACAGTAAGAATATTTACATTTCAACGTAAAATGAACCACACATCCCTTACTTTCTTAATTTTCTTTTAATCTAAGACGATAGATAATGCCATTTTCCAAATTTTCTGCTACAATTTTTGACAATTAAAATATAATTTTCTTGAGCCATATGGAGTTACGTTTGCACCAACGAGAACTCATTAGAAGAACAAATAAAACTTTCTATATTAAAGTGATAATAGATTAATAGTTAAAACATCAAACAATAAATTTAGCTAATTAAATTAATGAACAGATAATATGCAACGAAATTATTATTGTATATTAATAGTTAATACATCAAACGTTAAACTTTTATTTTATCCATATATAAAAATTAGTTTATCTATTTTGTGTTTTAATTGTATGTTTGAGTTAAAGAAAATGAAGTAAAAGGAAGGGTAGAGAAAAAAATTTTAACTAATTAAA